TTCCCCCGTGTAAACCTTAGACTCCTGCTCAGTTAAGTGACCTTCTGAATTTTTCGTTTGTTCCTGATTCCTGGCTTGGCTTCCTGTCTGTGATTTTTTTGGATCATTTCCCAAAATAAAGGATTCTACCTTTTTTCAATTACTCCTGCCTCATGTCGTCTGGTGCTCTGCATCTTGGGTCCTACTCTTCCTGCTCCGAACCTGACGACAACAGGTGGACCTGCATGTGATTGAACTGCTCACAGCTGATGTAGAAAATCACTTTGTTCCTGAGAATAAGTTACTTTAATTACAGAATTGTTTCTGTCTGTAAACTAGGCCTTATGTACAACTGTGTTTTTTTATTAGCATTTCTATTACTCATTATCTAGTAACAGCATATCTATACATGAAAATACTTAAAGACAACACTAGAACACGCATAAATCTGATCAAGGACCTACATTTGCAAACTAGAGTGACTGGTGATCCAGCATTCATCTTTGTTTTCTTCCTGTTTTCCTCTTGTCCAACAAGGTCATTGGTAGATCAGGCTAGCATTAGGTCAGGGGTGTCAAACTCAAACTCACACGGGGCCGAAATGAAACTCTGGGACGGAGTCGAGGGCCAAACTTAATATTTTTTGAAAAAGTGACGGCAAATTTGCACATTTTCTTTATCAACATATATGCAGTTTTGAACCTTTAAATTTGGAAACAAACATATTTCTGCATTAACACTGAATGTGGAATAACCAAATTACACACGAACAAGTCCGTTTTAAATAAAAGGCATCAGTGGTATTCATTACTTGTGGTATATTCAGCATTTTATAAATCTATTCAGGATTTATGTTTTCTTGTTGTTTATTCATTTTTCTTATTTTTTATTCTCCTTTTTTTCTCCTGTAATACGTGTCATCGCTGCTGTGACATCTAGCTTTCCCCACTGAGGAACAATAAAGGGATTTTCTATTCTATTCATCTATCTGCAGCCTTTCCACTTCCTGTTTACTGTAGGTTAAATCTTTTCTCACAGGCCAACAACAAAATAAAAATATAATTTTATCTTAAATGAAAATGCAACATCTCACCTGTTAACTTTCATGTTTTGGAGCAGAAAAAGAGCATAAAACCAACATATTTAAAGCTCAGTTTGCTCCACTGGTTTACTGTGATGCTCACCTGTCCCAGCCAGATACCTGCATCATGGGGTTGATCTGAGCTGAGGAGGAGACTCCTGTTGTTTTGTTCATCTTCATCATAATAATGACAACATTAGATGACAACAGGTGCTCACATAGGTTTGTGCTGCTGAACATGTCTGAGCAGCTTGACCACGTTGTTGTGTGTCGGGGAGGAAACACAACCACAGCAGCCACAGAGCCGTGCTGGTTTGAGCGTGTCGCTGCTCGCTGGAGTTATATCAGCTCTGTCTGAAAGTTAGTTGGAAAACTTTCTCTTTCAGTCGTGAACACATTACTGAGCGGCTAGAATCTCCGTTTCTGGGCTTCAACGTCAGAAAACAGCTGAGTGAACTCGGCGCTGAGTGAGAGGAGTGATTAGTTTGTCCGAGACAGCGGAGCTGCAGACACCGGCAGCAGACGCTGGGAAAAACACAAAGGAGGGGACGCGTCGGTTCCGCGCTGATGCCGCAAAGCATCATGGGAGTTGAAGTCTTTGCAGTAAAATCGGCCAGCGGGCCAGTTTTAATATATTTTCCATATTTATTTTGCGGGCCACATAAAAATGCTCTGCGGGCCGCATCTGGCCCGCGGGCCTTGAGTCTGACATATGTGCATTAGAAGTAGCTTGGGCTAGCATTAGCAGTAGTCTGGCCTAGCGCTGTCCTGTTAGCAATACTCTAAAAGTGGGTGGGGACCATTTACTGGACATATAATGGAAGAGCCATCCGTGACATCACTCGTATGTTTCTGAAGAGCTAAACTGAAGCCCATTGGGTAGTTTCCACCACCGCCATCTTGGCTGTGTCGCGTGTTGTCACCCCTGGAAAATACTAAAAAGGAGCTAAGAGCAGGGCTGTGAGGATGGGGGCGGATGATCAGCATCCATCAACCTCTAAGCTAATGTAGCTACGAGCTAATCAAAGCTAGCAAGGTTGGCAGACAACCGCAGTTGAGCAACTCTTCTACCCTTTGCCTTCTGGGTTATAGCACTTACTTCAGGCCGAACCTGACGCCTTCTCTGAAGCAAGCAGGAGGACAAGCTGCTAGCGCTGACAGGTCATCTGCTACTTGTCAATCAAACAGACACACCTTAAGTATTCACAAGTATTCACTTTTTGTCACTTCCGCATTAGCTTCAATTTTGGCACACGGATTTCCCCCCTTGGTTGGGAGATTCCATTGTAGGGTGGTGTGTCCAAGCTTATGATATGTTAAACCAGTGTTTTTTAGAGTGAACCATTTCTCTGCAGCTACGACTGTCACCACCATTACAACATAGGAAATCAGGTTGGGAATGGCACAAGCTTTTTGGTGTGCTACATTAGACACTCCAAGCTGCCCTTGTTCAGCAACAGCAAGGTAAATGTGGCTTTACATCCTAGGATCCATTTAAAAAGAGTCGGAGATGGATGTGGTCTGTAATGTTGACATCAGTTGACCTAGCTAGACTATAGGATGTTGTTTGTCCAGTGGACTGTAGCGGAAGGTGACATGACGGTATTTGGTGTCAGTCATTAATGTTTCTGCAGGATCACCGTGGATATATTTCCGACGTGTTTGGGGGATGTCAGAAAACAGGTGAGGAGCTGATGGGAACAGGTTTCAACAGATGGAAGCTTTGTTGCAGGAATTGGACCAAATCAGAGGGACAGAACAACCCAGGCAAGAAGGCAGCAAACCGAGATGTTATTATTCTGATTAATCGCTGGACAGCTAGTGGTAGCAGAACAGATCTGATTTAGTGTTTATGCCCGTTTAACAGCCTGGCAAGCCATCCTGTGCATGTAATGTATCTTTTGTTTCTGCAAAGGTTGGTCAAGATCTCTAGGCTATGGTAGATCTAGATCTCTAGGCTATGGTTGGTCTAGATCTCTAGGCTGTGGTTGGTCTAGATCTCTAGGCTGTGGTTGGTCTAGATCTCTAGGCTGTGGTTGGTCTAGATCTCTAGGCTGTGGTTGGTCTAGATCTCTAGGCTATGGTTGGTCTAGATCTCTAGGCTGTGGTTGGTCTAGATCTCTAGGCTGTGGTTGGTCTAGATCTCTAGGCTATGGTTGGTCTAGATCTCTAGGCTGTGGTTGGTCTAGATCTCTAGGCTGTGGTTGGTCTAGATCTCTAGGCTATGGTTGGTCTAGATCTCTAGGCTATGGTTGGTCTAGATCTCTAGGCTATGGTTGGTCTAGATCTCTAGGCTGTGGTTGGTCTAGATCTCTAGGCTATGGTTGGTCTAGATCTCTAGGCTGTGGTTGGTCTAGATCTCTAGGCTATGGTTGGTCTAGATCTCTAGGCTGTGGTTGGTCTAGATCTCTAGGCTGTGGTTGGTCTAGATCTCTAGGCTATGGTTGGTCTAGATCTCTAGGCTATCTGTTTGGTGCAAAAGCTTAATAAATCCTTACTGTATAAAAATCTGATCCAGGAAGCTTTATGCAGCGATTGAACTTTGTAAAATTAAACCCATGCTTGTTTACTCATGTTCTACATCAGACTGTGACACTTTTAAGGTCCCTCATCTGCTCATATTTTTGCACGATAAACGGAGAAAATCATGTTAAAGAGATGGAAAGAGAGGCCCAGGATCAGGAAGAAGCCTGGTGTTAGCTGATGCTGATAAACATGAATCCTACCACAGCAGTAAGAGCTTTAACCCTTCACTGGAGCTTCACTGAGCTGCTCACACACACACACACACACACACACACACACACACACACACACACACACACACACACACACACACACACACACACACACACACAATGTAATATTGCTATGGACAGTAGTTTTACCCTCAGGCTGTGTGTGTTACTGGAGCTAAATCAGGATAGGAGAGAGTGAGGGGTTCCTGCAGCCCAGCAGCTGTCCAAACAAGGCTGACCCGATGGAGCTCAAAGCCCACTGGGTGCCATCTTTGCTGGCACCTGGCCTGAGCATGCTGGGGGTGTAATTGTCTTCATCTTTGTCCCACAAGAGCTCTCATTGGGAGGATTAGCTCAAATCACAAGGAATGACACATAACCCGAACCATCTGCCAACCTTAGACAGAAAATTTAAAGGTGCAGCACTTGTAGTGGTCAAGAGCTTATTTGTCTGAAGCAGAGGCACCATGACGCTGGGAGGAGCTGTGGCAAACAGTTAGCCTCAAATAAAGTCAAACAAATATACATTCTAAATAAATGTACATTTAGATTAAAATGTGGTGGTTTTAACCTAAATCATGGGCTAACATGTCATTCTTTATAATGGAATCATACCAAAATAAAAGCTTTGTGAAGAGACCCTCTGTCTGGGTGCAGATGGGGAGAATGTCAGTTTAATAATGAATCATGGATCAGAGTCCAGGCTGTCACTCTGGAGTCAAACCATGCAGCAGCTTTCATAAAGCATGAAGGTGATTCTCGTGAACTAAAGCAAGACCCCATAACCTAACAGGGAGAAGTTACAGCTTCATTCTGGTGAGCGCACAGAGGAGAAAGTCGATGTTATCAGCACAAGGAGAATTCATAGATCACATGTTTACCTGCCTGTAGCAAAAACAAATCATGACAATCTATGTAAACAGAGAGGGTCTGTCACACAATCTGATCCTGAGACTTTGAGGATGTCAGCTGTCTCACTATTTACATTAATAATTAACATTACTTGGCCTATTCAGATTCATTCTAGCTTAGTATTTTACATTATTATTATTATTATTATCATTAATATTTGGATTTATATTTAAAAGTTTAGATATAAAATAGTAATTGATTAACTTTGTCACACAGATGCCACTAAATCTAGTTATTTATCGGTGTGTCACATTCCAGCACGCGAGCCGGTTCTGTTTTAAAGGTCCTACCTTGCTCTGTGAGGACGCGTCCTGACACAAAACCAGCAGGAAGGCGCACAGGTTGGTGTATCTCCACATGTTCTCAAGTCACAAGTCTGAAGCTTCACGCGCAGAAACCCAGAGCGACTCCACAGACCAGCTACTACGTAAGGTAGGTCCTCCTATTTCAGCTCCATCTCCGCTTCACGCACGTGAAGTTGCGTCTGAAGCGCACAGAGATGCGTGCGCTCTGTAGTGCGTCTGCGCTCAGACCGGCGCGGCGCAAAGCCCAAACAAGTGGGAGGGGTTAAAACACACACACACACACACACACACACGCGCGCGCGCGCGCGCGTGCGCACGCACGATGTAATGTTCACATAAAGTCTAACTGGAAACAGATGCTGTTTAAAAAGTTCTAAAAGTTGTAAAATCAGACAGCTGACCGGAAGAAACTTCAGAAGACATTTGGTGCCACCTACTGGCGCAGTGGGAATCTGCTGTTCCGGTCTTCTGATTGGTGTTTTGACAGCCAGGATGATCACTGGAAGGCAGCTACAGAGCATACTGAACTAAAACGATCCCAAATCCAGAACTCCAGAACAAGTGGTTCAAACTGTGGCACCACTAAATGGGGGCAGTAACAGTCGTAGTAATATCTGTTATTTTATAGACGTGTTGATTCAGTCTACTTAGTGTAATGTGTATTATCCAGTCTAATTTTATTTCTATGGCACTTTCTACACTGTCGACCAAAGTGCTGTACAGTTAAAAATAAACAGGCACAGATAAAACACTAAAAACACACCTGGAGAAGACACTTTCTGACTCAAGACCGTGATCTTTGATTTAGAGGAGCTGATTCTCATCCCAGCTGCTTCACATTCGGCTGCAAACTGCTCCAGTAAAAAGCCAGAGATCACCTTCTGATGAAGCCGACAGGACCACATCCTCTGCAAAAGCAGAAACTCTATTCTTGTGCCACCAAACGGATGTCCTCCACACCTTGGCTGCACCTAGAAATCCTGTTCATGAAGTTATGAACAGAATCAGTGACAAAGGGCAGCCTTGACAGAGTCCAACTCACTGGAAACCAGTCCGACTTACTACCAGCAATGGGGACCAAGCTCTGACACCGGGCATACAGGGACCTCACAGCCCTTATCAGAGGGCCTGGTACCCCATACTCCTGGAGTACCCCCCACAAGGCCTCCCAAGGGACATGGTTGAATGCCTTCTTCAAATCCACAAAACACATGTAGATTGGTTGGGTGAGCTCCCATGCACCCTCCAGGATCCCCCCTAAGGGTAGAGCTGGCACAGTGTTCCACAGCCAGGATGAAATCCACATTGCTCCTCCTGAATCCCAGGTTTGACAATCCAACGGACCCTCGTCTTCAGAACCCCTGAATGAACCTTACCAGGGAGGCCCACGAGTGTGGTCCCACTGTGGTTGGAACACACCCTCTTTCTAAATAGGGGGACCACCAACCTGGTCTGCCAATCCAGTGGAACTGCCCCTGATGTCCACGCGATATTGCAGAGCTGTGTGGGTGTCACGACGTGCGCGGAGTGAAGCGGAGCAAAGGCGAGGATCGAGACCGGGGAGGAAGCAGGCAGACAGGTAGGATGAATTCCACAGGTTTATTAAGTAAAGACGCATGCTGACACTGAAACAATGACACCACAAGGAACACGGAACAGCAGGGGTTTAAATACATGAGGAACGGGAGCTATGATGATTGGGAAACAAGAGGCAGGTGGGAGCAATTAACGGAGACACAGACTACAACCTAGGAGAAGACAGGACAGGGTGTGACAGTGGGCCAACACAGCCCAACAGCATCCAGAGCCTTAAACTCAAATCAAATCAAATCACTTTTATTGTCACGTCACATGTGCAGGTACACTGGTACAGTACATGCGAGTGAAATTCTTGTGTGCGAGCTTCACAGCAACAGAGTTGTGCAAAATACAGTAACATAAAAACAAGTAAAATATAAAAATGGCTAATCTAAGTAATAATATGTATAGTATGTAAGGTATATACGTTACTGAATGTGTGTACTAAGTATGTTTTCCTACGTGTGTGCATGTGTGAGTGTGTGTATAATGTGTATATACATATTTTACAAATGAATAAAGTAAACAATGAAATAAGAGATATAAATGTACAGAGGTTGGTATGTGCAAAACAGTGGCATTAATGTACAGTATGGAGTGTGTAATGTTGGAGTTTCAGTAGTGAGGGTGAGGTGTCTGCGCCGTGTTCAGCAGTCTGGTGGCCTGATGGAAAAAGCTGTCTCTCAGTCTGCTGGTTCTGGACCGGATGCTGCAGAACCTCCTTCCTGATGGAAGTAGTCTGAACAGTTTATGGCTGGGGTGACTAGAGTCCTTGATGATCCTCCCCGCTTTCCTCAGGCACCGCTTCCTGTAGATGTCTTGGAGGGGGGGAACCTCACCTCCAGTAATCCTTTCTGCACACCGCACTACTCTCTGGAGAGCTTTGCGGTTGTAAGCGGCGCTGTTGCCATACCAGGCGGAGATGCATCCAGTGAGGATGCTCTCAATGGCACAGCGATAGAAGGTCCTGAGGATGCGGCGGCTCATGCCAAATCTTTCCAGTCTCCTGAGAAAGAAGAGGCGCTGCTGTGCCTTCTTCACTGTTTTGTTCGTGTGCACTGACCACGTAAGATCCTCTGCCAGATGAACTCCAAGGAAACGGAAGCTGCTCACCCTCTCCACAGCGTCACCGTTGATGGTGATGGGGGTGTGTATTCCTCTGCACCTCCGGAATTCCACTATCATCTCCTTTATCTTTGTGACGTTGAGGGTGAGACGGTTGTCGACACCAGTGGGTCAGGGCGCTGATCTCCTCCCTGTAGGCCGTCTCATCATTGCTGGTGATGAGACCGGTTGGTGACTCCAAGCGGATCCCAACCCACGGCCTTGCCTCGAGGAGCTTTTTGACCACCTCAGTGACCTCAGCCACAGAGATTGGAGAGTCCAACCTAAAGTCCCCGGACTCTGCTTCCTCACCGGAAGATCTACTGGTGGCATTTAGGAGATCATCAAAGTACTCCGTCCACCAGTCAACAACATTCCGAGGTGAGGTCAGCAGCATACCGTCCCCCAGTATGAACAGTGTTGTTTATCCGGCGCCTCACTGGCCTATAATCAGTGAACCTACGTCCATCCTTACTCTTAAATAATGGAAACCCTTTAGCAGTTTTCCTTGAATTAGAGATGATTCCTGTAGAAAGTGACAGATTATAGATGTAAGTGAATAGTTCAGTAACAGATTCTGTTATAGTTTTAACAGTCGTCATGTCTAAGTCATCATAATCACTTGATCTTTTCTTTCCACAGTTTTTTACAATGTTTGTTATTTCTTCTTTTTCTATGTTGTCAAGGAAAATGCTGTTGGTATTACCGGTTAATGTATTCATTGCATCTTCAATTATTGGCTTACTATCCACCAGACTCGTCCCTACTTTAATAAAAAATGCACTGAGTTCATTAGAGATTTCTTCAACATCACAAATGTCTTTAATGTCCTTGAAAAAGTAGTTTGTGAGTCTTAATTTTGTTTTATTTCTATTAGACACATTATTTATTATTCCTTATGTAGCTTCTGTGTTATCTTTCTTCTTATTCAGTATTTACCATATTACCTTTTTACTGTTTCTTAATAATTGTTACTAATTTATTTTTATCCATCCATCCCTCCATCCTTCCATCCATCCTTCCATCCATCCTTCCATCCATCCTTCCATCCATCCTTCCATCCTTCCATCCATCCTTCCATCCATCCATCCATCCATCCTTCCATCCTTCCATCCATCCTTCTATCCATCCATCCATCCATCCATCCATCCATCCATCCATCCATCCATCCTTCCATCCATCCTTCCATCCATCCTTCCATCCATCCTTCCATCCATCCTTCCATCCTTCCATCCATCCTTCCATCCATCCATCCATCCATCCTTCCATCCTTCCATCCATCCTTCTATCCATCCATCCATCCATCCATCCATCCTTCTATCCATCCATCCATCCATCCATCCATCCATCCATCCATCCTTCCATCCATCCTTCCATCCATCCTTCTATCCATCCATCCATCCATCCATATCCGCTTATCCGGAGTCGGGTTGCGGGGGCAGTAGTCTTAAGCCTGATTCATGCTTCTCCGTCAGCTCCAAAAGGGAGACACGCACGCACGGAGTGTTGCAAAGCAATTCCCCACCAGGACAGCAGAGGGCGTAGCGCTGTTCTGTGGTATCCTGTCATGTATCGGTCCAAGATAGTGCGTTTATATTGTGTTTTTGTACATACGAGACTTTTCAACAGACAAATTTGTCTCTCATTCTCCCCCACCTCTTCATGCGCTCACCACCTCTAAACCCACGTTTCCTGTCATTTCCGTCCACAAATAAAACGCTTGCTGCACATCTTTTCACTCCTCCAGTCACGGGGAATTAAACGTTCATATTTTTAGAGTTTTTTCGCGAGGTATTCTTCAAGCTTCTCCGTGTCTGCCGCTACATATCCTCGGCTCTCTTTATGTTTTTGAGGGCGCAATGGCGGCGCTGTAGACGACAGCGGTGCCCTGACCAATCACAAGCTTGCGTTCTCTGTCTTGATGGAAGGATGTTTAGAAAAGAGAGCTTGACTCCGTACGTACTTGCGGAGCTCTCCAGCAGGCCCGCAAGGATGGATAATGGTGTTGCGTGTCTCCGCACTGACAGGGACGAAGAAGCATGAATCAGGCTTGTCGAGAGACCCAGACTTCCCTCTCCCCAGCCACTTGGGCCAGCTCCTCCGGGGGAATCCCAAGGCGTTCCCTGGCCAGGTGAGAGACATAGTCCCTCCACCGTGTCCTGGGTCTTCCTTTAGGTCTCCTCCCGGTTGGACGTGCCCGGAAAACCTCACCAGGGAGGCGTCCAGGAGGCATCCTGACCAGATGCCCATGCCACCTCAACTGGCTCCTCTCGATGTGGAGGAGCAGCGGGTCTACTCCAAGCCCCTCCCGAATTACCAAGCTTCTCACCCTGTCTCTAAGGGAGAGCCCAGCCACTCTTCAGAGAAAACTCATTTCAGCTGCTTGTATCCACAATCTCGTTCTTTCGGTCACTACTCAAAGCTCGTGACCATAGGTAAGGGTAGGAACGTGGATCGACCAGTAAATCGAGAGCTTCGCCTTCTGACTCAGTTCTCTCTTCACCACGTCAGACCGGTACAACGCCCGCATCACTGCAGATGCTGCATCAATCCACCTATCGATCTCACTCTCCATCTTTCCCTC